TAGTTGGTGATGTTCATATATAATGGGCGGGCTTCAGGTTAGCTGGATCATATTGTATCGGGCCTCCAAATGCTCCGCTGAGATACTGGTACCTACAAGCCGTGCTCCCATCACTGCCGAGAGTTCAATCTACGGCTACATTCGCATACGAATCCTTCTCTGAGTTGCCTTGTCTCTATTGAAGAAGAATTGGACCCGCGAGTCCACTACGGCACGGTCGTACCTGCACGTATCGTTTTCTACCAGAGACCTTCTCAAGGGGACTACATATTCTCAACGAGAGACTCCAAGTTCATATCGCCACCTAACCTCATCAACAGGGACTTGCCGTTCTTCATTACACCAGCAACTAAATATGGTTCCCTCTGAAAGTCTCCCACGATTCTTCCGCTTACCTTCGACAGTCTTTCGTCCCATCACTTGTGGTCGTACTTGCTCGATGGTAATCATTACCTCATCCATGACTACCTCGTCAATACCAGTGCCCAGCATAGCTCGCTGGAAGTCGCCGATAAAAGCGTCAAAATGGAAATCGTTGATGCCGAGCGTTTCGTGAATTGCATAGAGCTCACGGGTGGTGGATTTCTTCGGACCTCCAAACATTTCAATGAAGTACTTCGTTTGACCTTCTTTTATCTTCTTGATTTTCTTATCGTCGAAGAACTCTTTGATTCGCGTATCGGTAGTGACGATTTGATACAGAATATTCAGAGTCTCTCGAATGCCCTTCTCGCCTCCTAGCCTGAGTTGAATCAACATATTCGAGACCGCTCACTGTATTTCAACAACTAGGTTTGCATAATCTCAACATTCTCATTGAAATCTACTCGGGAATGAACTTTCTATAGCTGCATGCTCATCGTCAGTGAATCCAGTCGATTCAACGATTAGCTTACTTCCTATACAACTGGTCTTTGCCCAGCGATAGATTCTTCAACGCTATCTCCCTCCTCACGCCGTAGCCCGTAGTGACCATTGGCCGCACCGGCTGAAGTAGTTTCATGAGTTCACGAGAATCACCTGCACCACCGAGAGCCCAGTACACCCGGTCCTATACTGCTAGACAACAACCCACTCCGTTTTAAGTCCAACTCCCGTAGCGAGGTCTCCTTGATCAGTTGCAACATCGCCCCAAAATGGTAATCCGTGATGTTCATGTTGTAGTGCGCTGGTCGCATGTCGTTCGCATCATAACTCGATGGGCCGCCTGCCACGAATAAGAATCGTCCTAGGGGTTACGCTAGATGGAGTCACCAGTTATTCCACAGAGAAACTGAATCATTTTCTTCTTAATGGAAGACACCTTAGCTTTGTTCTTCTCAAAGAAGCTACGTAGACATGTATCAACCATGGCCTTATCGTAAACTATATCGATCAGTTTGGTGATCGCTGGCTCCCCGCCAATCCGTTCATATCTAAAAACATCCAACCATCGTCGAAATGACTATATTCGTGCTATGAGTTATGCAGCGAACGCATGACTAGACTTACATGGGTTTCACATTTGCTAACTGTTGCGCCCGCTTGGTGTCATGCTTTCGGAGATCAGGATGCACTACGGACGA